TTCTTTACTAATATTCTCTCTCTCTCTCTCTCTCTCTCTCTCTCGCTCGCTCGCTTTCTCTCGCTTTCTTTCTCTCCCTCTCTTTCTCTCTCCATTAATCTACACCCTGATGCCCATGCATAATCGATTTATAGTAAATTTTTATTGCGTCCACAAGGTCGGATACGTATTTGCAATTATTTTCTTTTTATTCTTCATTTTTTCTTTTTCTCTCTTTATTCCAGAAAAATATATATGTTTATACATGTATGTATGTATTTATGCATGTATGTATGTATGTATGTATGTATGTATGTATGCATGTATATATGCAATATGTATATTTATATACATAACAGTGCCACGAGATGGAAACCGTCAACAATGGACAACATTTTCTGTTTCTTTCTTTTCTTTTCTTTTTTTTTTTTTTTATTATATATCAGACTTTGCGAAATAAGTACCGAAGTAAATCTGTCGTCCTGTTTCGTGTCACATTTTCGATTCTGTCATTTCGCGGAAATGTACAGGTAATAAAATATATTTATGATAAAACCCTTGAAATTGCCAGCAATTTTATTTCTTCTTTTCTTTCTCTTATTATTTTTTTTTTTTTCTCTTCATGTTTAATATACTCTTAAACACTACGGATGTGTGACTCTAATATGATTAAATCAAGATGGCGGAAGGAGCCATGTTTTTCGATTCTAACCTCTAACAGAAACATCAGAAAAATAATTATTAACCTTTTGAAATTAATCGTATTATTTTTTTTTTTCATTAAATTAATTTTTTTGAAAGTTTTCTGCCTGTGAGCTGTTCGTAACAAATATTCTCGATCTTTATTTTATACAGAAAATTTTCATTTCTTTTCTTCGAACGAAACAATTTGTAAATTAATTTATTCATCTTTTCTTCTATGTTAATGTTTAACCATCGTATCACTGTGACATCAAGAAGCAAATTAAATCGAGGAAATGATACATACATGGATGAGAGTTAAACGTGAAGAATACAGGGTGATGCGAATATCTCCATACGACATGTGACAATGACGATGTTTTTTTTTTTTTGCATGGAGGCTTGTGTTGAACATTATATATTGAACATCCCAGTGTAGATTCGTATATGGAGAATTTGGCATCAGCCTATAGAAAATTGAAACGTGAACAGATCTCCTCCATAGCTCGGCCAGCAACAATGAAACGAAAAAACAAGGGAGTGTGGATAGTACAATGTACAAAGCTAATTTACAAAGGTGTCGTTCGGTTACCCTCTGTATTTCACGGCTCGTCTCGCGCTTCTTCGTCTCTGTTTCTTTTATATGTACACAATGCACTCTTTTTGAACTCTATGGCTTCTGTGGTTTCTCTATCTCTCTCCCTCTCACTCGCACACCACGCATTCTGTGTTTTCTTTTTTTTTCTTTTCTGTCTTCTTATTTCTACATAATTAACGCTTTTTTTTTTCTTTTATATATATCGCCATTCGCCACTTTAAATCCCGCCAATCGTCAGAGAAATCATCGATTACGAATTGTTGCCCCTCGTACCACCATTTTGTAACGCTCCTCCCTCCCTTTCACTCCTTGCCGATGAAAAGGCTTGCAATACTGTGTAAGAAAAATAAATAGCTTCCTCTCTTTTCTACCTCTTTGTTATTAGAATAAACTTTGAACATTTCTTGGATTTTTTTTTCAGGAAAATAAATATTTCAACGATTCCATAGATATTTCTTGTTGGTATCGTTTCTTTCTTGTTTGTTTGTGTTCCTTTATTTATTTATTTATTTATTTATTTATTATTATTATTATTATTTTTTTTTTTTTTTAGGTTAGAATTTAACTTGTGGAAACCATGCAACGCCCTCTTTGCAACGCCATCTATTCTCCATTGTTGTACTCAACACGGGGGACACACTGAAAGAACCCCTTTTCCAGAATGGTTTTGCAAAATTACCAAAAGGAGAGTTTTTTGAACTGAAAATTTTTACAAAAAGCAATTTTCGAATTCCACTTTTTTTTTAATGGAAATCTCAAATTTTTTTTGTCGGAGAATTTTTACTTTTCTCATCTCGCATCTCACAGTATTGCATGTCAACAAAGCGCAATGAAATTCGTAAAATGAACAAGCCACAAAAACAATTTTCATTTTGTTAAAAAATCGGTATGTAATCGAACTTTATGCTCGAAGATCAAGCTTGCAGTGTATTTTCATTAAAAATTGCAAAAAAACTTTTCTCTTTCACGTATAACGTGATTCACTTGTACGTTTTTAATCCTTCCTATCATATGGAATTCGAGAACGTCCCAAAAATATCGAACTATAGCTTACATAATAGTTAAATGCATACATCTTTGCATAAACTGTTTCTCGTCGTTCGTTTTGAGACGAATTTCGTGCTCGGAATAAAATTGAGATCTATGAAGATCTTCAACGCAACAAATTTTTCGTAAGAATTCTTTCTATTCGAAATTTTTGATAAATGCAAAAATTCTGCCGGTTTTCTTTTACCTTAAAGAATCAATATGGCGATAGATATTAATATTTTGTACTCAAACAACATTCAACAATTTTTTTTTTTCAGAAACGTGCTCTCTCTATTTTCGTTCAAATTTTTATTGTAAATTTTTTAAACTCATGCAATTATAATTTTTTTTATAAGTTTTATTATTGTTCTTATTTATCTTGAAAGAATTGTTGAATAAAGACCGACAGAATTTTTGCACTTACCTAACAGCTTTATTCGCGCAGCATAACTTAGCAGCCTTGAGTTTCCAATGGTTTTCAGCCATTCTTTCTCGGTTCATTGCTTATATGGAGCACTTTTGATATTCACTATTGCTTAAGAGGTGGAAGTTAATTTTTAAATTAACTTCGCGATATTCACTTCATGCCTTTACATATATTAATAAATTTTTTAATTTTAAATCGGAAAATTAAATTATCCACGAAGGATTTGAATAATACTTCGTGACAGTTTCAAAGAATTTCCAGAAAAATTAAAATTGCACAATAATCTTAAAAAAAAAAAAATAAATAAATAAAAGAAATAAAAGCACCATAAAAAATTAACGCAATATAAAATTAATTAAATTTCGTAAATAAATTTTGAATAAATTTTCGAATTATTAAATATGCTTTGATATTTGGGATACCAACTAACCTGAAAAAGAAGTCAGCCCCGTGGAACATAAACTGGCAAGAACAGTCTTCGTCCTTTCTTCAATATATTTCTCGCATTGTTTCTTCGCAAAAAATACACATCGATTTAAAAGACAGATACATTATCTCGTATAACTTTTCTCGTCCAGTTTTGTTGTTGTCGCTTAATCTTGCAACTATGCATTCGGGTTCATTTTTCTTATCATCTCTCACTCGCTCTCATTCTCTCGCTATTCACTTAACTATCTCATATGTCTTCATTTTCATCGTGCAACACTGTATTATTTATATGTTTAAAGACTTCATCGACATCATTATCATTATCATTATCATCATCATCATCATCATTATCATCATCATCATCATCATCATCATCATCATCATCATTAGCAATCGTTAAAATTATTGTACATTATTTAATTAGTAATCGTTAGAATATAATATTGTTGATGTACATGTGGCTCCACCAAATTCATTGCGGAGAACGCGTAAATTACTAGACACGCGTGAATATAAGAGAATCCCACTTAGTCGAGAATACCCGAATTCGTTTCTTTTTTTTTCTTTTTCTTTTTAAAATTCACTCTTCTTTCGAAGAATTTTTTTATTTCACTTAATTTTTCTCGATGATTTTTTTTTTTAAATGATTTATTATTTTTAATTTTTTTCCCTTAGAATTTCAGATATATTTGGGCATAAAATATTTCAGGTATTCGAAAAAGGCTTCCTCGAGCCACAGTCGATGTAGCTTCATTTACTTTTACAACTTTGAATTACCAATTCGGGGATTTTCAACCGAAAAACGATGAAATTACAAAATAATTTCGATCCTAAATTCTTACGAATTCTTTCGAATTTTATATAAATTCGAAATTTCTCAAATTTTTTATACTCTCCATTATAAACATTTACAAAGAAAGGATTTTGTAATTCCATCGTAATTGCTCGTAATATTCTTAGCAAGTTTAATCCTAATGTTGTTTATATCTGATTTGCAATTTTCAAGATCAAATCGACTGAGACAATTTTCGCGCGTGCCTATCGAATATCTACGTCATGTAACTTCTATTAAACGCACACGGGCGTAATAAGTCGAACTGCATCGCCGCATTGCCAATCCGCAAGAAAATCTCTTTGCACTTGCGCGACGAAATTTTTTTTTTCCATCATTTTTCAGTTTCTTTTTTTTTATTTTCTATTTGTCTCTCTCCCATATTCTAAGCGGAGTGCACACCGAGTCCTTCTTCCTTTCTTTCCTTTTCATACAGATTCAGTCTCTCTCTCTTACACACACGCACATACACGCACCTACACTCATTCATGCACAGTTCGAACAGAACCACTAATTGTTGTACATACAAAGTATCGCTTGCCATCATCATTTAAATTCGCGCGCGCGCGTTTATGTTGTATACACACGTGTGAAATTAGTGTTGGGAATCGTAACGCGACCTCTCCTCTTTTCAATTCCTTTTCTTTTTTCTTCCTTTTTTTTCTTCTTCTTTTTTTTTTTTTTTCAATTACGAAGGAACAAATTCGTAACTCGATAAAAATTTGACTACTAAAATTTATAATAAAGGAGGTGTACTGTACTTTACACAATACACGAGTATCGTCAATTTTGCAACACCGTTCTCGAATTTCTACGAGTGACGCGAAAAAATTGCAACTACGCGAAAAATTTTGCGATAAAAGTTCTGCACGAACAGACTGTGTCGACCTCGAAAAATTTTCAAAGACACTCGTCTAAATGCGTATCTCTTTATTTATATATAAATTTTCTTCTTTTTGGTTCAAGTGTCTCTTTTAAAAAAATTCCTACAGCCAAAAACACGAAAATTTTGATGGAGGTCGACGATTCCAAGCGTTTGAAAGTTCGCGCGCAAATCGTTTGGCGGGAACGTTTCAAATGTCACAAAAATGAGGAACAACGCCGCGAGAAAATTTTTTCCTTTAACAAATTCATCCCTAAAAAGAATTTCGAAATAGAATCGAATTCAACAAATCTAACCTACTAGAATCACAAATGTTATTGCAGATGTTATCTCTGCAAATTCGATCATTAATTAATTTTTTTTCTATCAACTTCGATTCATCGATAAATATCCGATGTCCATCGTTGTCGAAACGAGTCTCAAGGATCATCCATCACTGACTTTTCACGATCACGAACCGTGATAACGTCTTAAATTAACTTTCTTAAAAAACAACTTTCCAATCACAAAGCCGATTTGATTCCCATCACTGTACACAAAATACCACGTAAATGTGTGTGTATGTTCGTGTCTATGTATATGTATGTATGTATGTATGTAAGCATGTTTGTGTGTATCAGTGTGCAACCTAGCGAATATATAATATACTGTATATATATAAAACGTTCCAAATAGAAATAATATTTTACCAATTATCAATCGAATGCGGAGCAAAAAAACTCCCATCAAATTTGTTTCTCGATTTTTTCGTTATTATTTACGATTTTTTTTTTATCGTTTTCTACTAAAACGTACAACAATAATTTTTTTTTTTTTTTTTTCAGTCTAATACATTCCAAAGCACCAATATCGTTATAGTTCTCCAATCCAATATGGCCGCACAACCGAGTATCC